AAATGCTCCCTTATTCACACGTGAGTGTAAGAAAGTCTCTGCGTCATGAGGCAACAGACCCTGGTCGTTATTTTTGGAAATCCTCAAAAGAGTGGGTTCAAAAGAGATTTTTTTTAAAATGTGGCTTATGCTGCAATTAACATACTAAGAAGTAAAAGAGAAAAATAACAGGGAGAAGGCAGGAGTTCAAGAGGAACAACAGCTAGGCATCCACTTTCTATACAGCATATGGAGTTCAAGAGGGATTCTTGTATGAGGACAATGAGAGGGGGTTCATGTAGGATGTGGTTTTGTATCATGATAAAAATATTTGTGGCCAATGCATCTTTGCCTAATACCCAGTTAGGAGAGAAAAGAAATTAAGGTTATGAACTTGGAGAAAGGCATATACTTAAATCAACAGTACTCAGTGATATAAAATAGAGAAGGCAGAATGACAAGTGGCTTTATCTGCCCATGCTTTCATCACTGTAAAACCCTGTGGAATTTTATGTTGCCCTGCGAATCTTGTATACCATTAATAAACTTTCTTCCCATGTGCCAGCAGTGTAAAATTTAAACAAATAAGAAAGTGTTACCTTTATTTGTAGCTTCCTTTGGTTACTCAACATTAAAATGCACACACTACTGAGAGCAAGGGCTGTGGGACAGGTCAGAGGTGAGACAGAGAAGAACGGTCCCCTGTCCTCAGAAAGCTTACTTCAGAAAAATTCCAAGACTGTAAAACCAATAGTAAATTTCTAAGGAATTCAACCACCAATTTCTGGTTCTAGCAATTAATCAACAATTATCACAGGCACGGCACTGTCTAGCTGTTCGCTGTCAGTTTTTCTAGATGGAGGGCCAGAATATCTCTATGTTTAACACTCACAGTGAAGTGAGCTAAGTAACACTCCTTAACAAGTGGCTAGAAACTGCAAGTCTGGTGAGGAATAAATACATTTTGCCCCATCGGAACACTCTAAAACAGTATTAGCCATCAACGAGAGTTTAGGGGCCTATTTTAGTTGTCTACTCACCTTTGGAAACAGATGGCTCTTTAAGTATTAAAATGAAGGTTTAATGTACATTATACAATAACTAATAGTACTTGAGATGAAAGTATATGCTCCACTACCCCCCTCCCAGGTACCAAGAGGGGTCAGAGTTCCCATTTATGAGCAAGTCTTCAGGGTAGGCAGCATCCCAATCTCCGACTCTCTTCTGTGGCTGTTTCATGGATGGCTGAGGGGAACACTTCAAAAATGAACCAGCTAAACAAACTTCCCAGAAGCACTTGACAGAGCTACACCTATTCTTCCCATTTCCAAAGCAGTGGAGAATTAATTACCAGTTCTATGGATCTATTGTAAGTATAATAGACTAAAGAGCTATCACAGACACATTTATTGTAAAAGCACAATCCCAAGAGTGTCTAGTGGAGGGCCAAAACGATTAACACAAATGCTTTGTCAGATCAAAGATAAAACCTGCACCGCCCAATTGAGGAATGAATTAGAACAGTGGGTTATCTTTCAAATTAACCAGGGCAGTTAGTGAGGAAAATTTCATGAAAGTGTAATTCTTAGCCTTTGTGAATCCACACAGCAGGCATTCTGCCAGCTGACAAGATGATGAAATTTTCATGCTTAAAAAAAGCCCTCTTCATTTCCCAATTTAGATTAGCTAGTGTTTCTCTACGTGTGTGTGCGTCTCTCTCTCTCTTTGCTCTTCTGATGCAGAATTTGGGGGTGGGGGTAGCACACACCAATTTTCCACTCTGATCGAATCTTTCAAAAAACATCCCTAAAAGCTTAGAAATACAGTCTTTAAACTGACTTTTTATGATTCCCCCCCACCAAAAAATACCAGTTAAATTTTAACTTGGTACAGAGACCAGCAAGGACCAAGTCACAAAATCAACTTTGAATTAGAGCTTTCTGTGCTGCCTCTAAGTCCTTCAATGCTTCATCAAATCTCGGGATAAAGCACTACAGTTGTTTTCCTCCTAAAGAAATTAATATACAGGGCTCGGCAGAAGTAACGCCTGCATGAGTGGGGTTGGTAGGGTAATAATATGGGTGTAATAATTTAGTTTTAATTTGAATATTTCGCCTAAAATGTCATATGGTGTGCTTGAGTGTGCTATTGTTATGTTGCAAAATTATATGCTTATGATTTTATAATAAAAAAGGGACGTTATTTGTGCCAGACCCTGTATTACTTAAAATATCCTGCTTGGTGCTTTTGGTATTTCTATGTATATTGAAATTTAAATGTTCTAGGAAATAAGAATTCAAGGGATACAATCATTGCTATATGGGGAGAGAGAAAAAAGCATTTCCTCTCCTATTAAAAGAGTCAGTATTAAAACGATATGATATGATATTGATTGATTCTCAGATATATAATATTTTTAATATTTGTTACATTACATTTATTCAGTCAGTACTGTTTATTCATGACAGAAAAAAACAGGCTATGGGATGGATTTTTTAAAAGTGATTCCGAAGTTTATTTTGTTACCATAAACTTCTGTCCCTTTGTTCCTGATAACCCAATTTCCTGGTGATCTAGAACTACTACATTTCTTCGGAGGTTACAGTGTTTGGTCAAGTATCATACTCTTCCACTGTCTTCCTAAAGTTCCTTGTTCATGGAGATGCCTCCCTTTCTCAATGTAGGTTGTACTTTCCCTGCAATGATTCTATGACTAAAATGAAAAAGAAAAAGAACTATTGAGACTTGCTCTCAGTCCTACTAGTAACTTTTATGTCCAGTTGGGGGAGTATTTTTTAACTTGCAAAATAGAAGGAAACCTTTTTGGTCATTAGCTTCAGAGAACGGTCACTTAATTTCCATAGAGGCAGACCTCAGAGATATTGTGGGTTCAGTTTCAGATCACCACAATAAAGCAAACATCATAATAAAATGAGCCGTAATCTTTTTGCTGGTGAGGGTCTTACCTCTAGTGTGTGAAAAACACAAGCGCAATAAAGCGAAGCACAGCAAAACGAGGTATGTCTGTACTTATTGTCCTTGCCTTCTGTACACTTGGTGTATTAATCTCCAGCTGGACCACCATCACTGTGGTACATCACAATGCATTAACTGTAATCATCATCATTTGAGGCACAATAAAAAGAAACTCAATGCCATGTCCCTCTGCCTGCAAAAGTTGTTTTAGGTCTGGGGGTGAGGAGGAAAGAGAGCAGTCTACCAATGAAGTAGAACCTAAAGGTGCAAGAGCTTTCTGTGTAAAAGCTCACTTTGGGAATATTTTTAACATTTGTTCAACATGGGGTCATAAAAAGAATGATGGATTTCTTCCTCTCCCATCGAATCACATATGACTAAGATCAGAAAGCAGAGAAATAGGCTCTTAATTTTGAGGATAGTCATATCAATCTTCAACTTTAAGAGTGACATTTGGATATTTTCATTAGAAATCCCTTTAAAAAGTCACTCAAGTGGGCAGTAACTATAGGAAAACTGTTACTTGCTGTTAGTGAGAATGGCTGGCAGACAACTGAAGCAAACACAATAGAACTCTGGGACGAATTTCCAGATCCACAAAACTAGGTTATTTAGCTTGAAAAATAGTCATGTAACACTACCACCAACACCACCACAGCACACACGCCGTTAGGTTAGAGATCCATCTTTCAGTTAGGGCACATTTCTAACTATAGAGAAGATCATTTTTCTGCCTATTCCCAACTTAGTCAAAACAGGTTGTCCCTTCTTATAGAAGGGAATAGATGAGTTTCTTCTAGTATTAACATTTCCATGGTGAAGATTTTGATAGACTAAACACAGAGAGAAAACTCGGAATTCTTCCCAAGAGTCAAGAATCATAGTGTACTCAGTGAGGTCTGTAAATGAGGAGCTGAATAGTTTTGATTTGGGCTCTTCATGCTAAATAAAGGCCTAACATTTCATGTGCGGAACATTTCATCTACTGCGGAATGTGAACCCACAGATAACCTTTATTCCCATCCAACTGTTCATTAAGTACAGCACAGCATTATTCACTAAAATGTTTCAGATTTCCCAAAATGTAGTCATAATTATTATTTTAAAAATATCTGCAGGCAAACTTACTTGGGTTTTTTTTGACAAATACAAATTATTCCACTCCAAAATTATGATACTGAGAACTCCGTTTTCACTCTTCATCCTACTGATCTAATACTCAATTTCCATTTAATAAGATCCATTCTAAATAAGAAAATGCTACATTATATGTTAACTAACATATAAGAAAACAATATAGAGAGATATTGATCAAAGTTATGGGTCTTACCTAATAGAGCCTGAGCATTTTTGGAAATGCTTTGCCAATGTAGCTTCTTTAAGTAAGTCACAGTGAACTTTCAAGTAATAGAAATTTTGTTTAGATGACAAATGACATAACAAAGCACTAAGAAAAATCAAATGGTAAATGGAAATGTACAGTTTTTTAATTTCTGAAGAGGAAAAAACTCATTCATATGAAATTGTTGAAAATAAAACAAAAACTTTGAAAAAAGCCTTTTTAACACAGACAGCTCACTCACTGTTGTGGCATATAAAAAGCCAGACAAATTGCATTTTATTTTAAAAGATTTTTTGTTTTATTTCCTCGGACAACTAAGCTATGAAATGGTTTCGATTACCACATAAACGCAAAGTCTTCATCTATTAAAATCAGCCAAAGATAAGCAATATTGAGTTTACCTCCTTTGTCCAACTAGCTGAGTGATCACTGGATTTAGTCTTATTTAGGTAACAGTAACCTAAAACATTTCCCGATTATATCCTCATTTTTCCTTAAAAGCAAAAATTTCACTATTTAAAATATTTCTCATTAAGGAGAGGTGTAATACCCAATAGAAAAGCAAATCATTTTCCTCCCAAGACTTTTAAAAATTTTAGTTTCATAAGAAAAACAGTAACACAAAATCACATTCTTTTATTTTATAACAAGTACCAAATCTAAGTAAGCTGTGTGTGTAAAAAAAGTCATAGTGGATGCTCACCTCGTAGTATTTTTTAATGTAACGTCTAATATCCAAGATCAATTTGTTGCTCAGCTGTACCATGAAGTTCAGAGGTGAAGCCTTACAGTTGATGTTACTGCAACGATACAAGCTGAGCTCCACATCGGTTCCCTGTAGAAGTCAAGTCAGACACAAAAGGTTATAAAAGGTTTCCTGTGCTTAAAACTTATATGCCGTTCTGGTATACAGCATTTGTCATTCATTTTACTGGTGAGTTTTAATCTTACTTCTTCAACTGCTTCCCCCTCAAATATTCCCTTAGTCACATATACCTTTCACTCTTTTGCCACCATCATATTGGAGCATGAAGTTGAAGGGAAAACCCTAAAAGTACTTATTTTTTTAACTTCTATACATGACAGACCCTATGGGTAAACTAATTTTCCCTGTGAAAATGCCAGTGAAGGGATGTTATTGGAAATAAACATCCTTTATAGACATATCAAAATTTTAAATTTGCCCTTATTCATTCCAAACCTGAGGATAAAGCAAGAGCACTAATGACATTAGTTTGCTTTCATATCGTCATCTTAATTTTAAGAATAAAGCCTAAAAATTAAGCGTTACACCACAAAGCAATCATGTTTTGTCAGCTTAGCAAATCCAAAATTCCTACCCCCCATTAAATGTACTTGGGGGAGGGAAAGCAGGAGGAGTAGGAATTTGAAAGAATTAACTATTAGTAGTTGGAGAAAACATCTTGTTTTGTTTCAAACAAAGACAAAGCAAATATATAGGAAAACTGTTGGGGTTTCTGGAGCATGTGTTTTTCTTCTTGATACTTAAACATCTTGGTTTTCTGCTTCAATCTGGTACATAACCCTGCCCGCCACGCTAAGCAATTCCAGGTGGAAGAGATTTCAGAGCTTGACATCGGCTCTTCCACAGTTAGCCCATCTGCAAGTCGTCAAGCCTCCATGCAATTAACTATCTTATTTACAGCTGTAATGAAGCAAAACTCAAGGATTTAGCGAGTATTGCTGATCTGCGTCTGCCTCTTCCTCGCACTTGCTTCCAAAGGCTGCTTTGTTTTGATTCAAAAAAATGCAAAACATCTGCTGTTTGTCCAAATTAACTTAAAATAATTACTTTTAATTTAGATAAAGGATGTATTTTCTTTCAGTTTCAAGGTTTTACACGGTTCTGCTGCCTACTCATTTGCCAATAGCTAGTACATGTATAACACTTGCAGTGGAATCAAGTAAATTGGCCAGGTTTCAAGTTCTGATCCAAGGTCAATGATACATTTTTTGGCAGTACTTCTTGAAAGGAATGTCTCCCTGTGACTTCTTAAGTGTCTGACATGCAAAGACAGCAGAAAAGATAATCAGAGTACCTTTGTCAAAAAGGAGGCAAGTGGGATGTGTAAAGATAAACAAAAACTTTCCAAAAACACGTAGTTCCCATTAACTTGATTTAAGATACAGAAAAATATTGCTCTAAGTCTTAATAAATTGGGCTGGGAGTGGGGAAATACAGGTTACTAATTAAGGAATTACAATAAAAATACTTTAAGATAATTTAGATATTTTAAGAGATTCCATTTAAAAAGCAAGGCCAAGCACTCTAGGAAGCCAAAAACAATATTAAACACATAAAAGCAATGTTTTTTCCTTTTTATACATATACTGGGGAGAAAAGGCCTTTATACTAGTTCACTCATAAAATGGAAACAGGAAACAAAAAGAGACAACTAACCGAACCCTCGAAGACACTATCGTAAATATTCTCAGTTCCACATTCAGGGCAGGGACATTTGAATCTGTCACAGTCCCTGTATTTCTCCTCATCGGTGAGCTGTGCTGGGCCACCAAGTAGAACATCATTCTCTTCATCTTTATGATAATGATGTACTCTAAATTGGGTGGGGTCGAGTCCTATTGATACAAAAGAAAAAAAATTCATAAAGGTACAATTATTTGAATTCCTTTATCCAAAAAATAACCCCCCCTAAAAACTCACAAAAGAGTAATTTTAAATTCACACACACGCAATCATTTGAATTCAAGACAGAGGCTCATATCACATGGACAAATGTCTCTTTTTATAAGACGTTATAAATAAAACACGTAAACAGCACTGCAGAAATATGCCAGTGGACATTTGGGTTTGGAAGCAACTAACTACTTCTATAGGATGGTTTTAGTATTTCTCAAAATTACAGTGAAATCACAAATAAACTTACATTATTACTAAGAAAATCTCTTAAAATCAAAGTATTACCATTAATATTGAAAATAGAGAATAAAAATCCCATAAAAGAAAACAAGTTCACTGCTATTACAACTCCTTCAAGTGCAGACACAACTGCTAATCCCGATTTCAATGCAGTGGTCGATTACATCTTGGCTCAGTAGGTAACAGCATGTAGGTTGCAATCTAATTCAGTGGTTAAAATTCAGCAGCAGCATATAAGACAAAACGCGGTATTTTTTTTCTGGTGTTCTGAATTCAGAAATTTAAAATACATGCAAAAAAATGAATCTACAGATCCTATAAGCCAAAATGCCCCCAACAATCCTGAAACCAAATATAGCTTCCATATTTCAAGCAAACCGACACAAGAAATCAATTGATGCATAGTTTATGCTATCATGTTTCCCCAAACTTAAAATAACCATTTCAAGGTCAACCAACTTAATTTACCATTGCTCAAAGCATATCTCTCAAAATCCTTTCTTTGAATTTACACTTCAAGATAATTACTCCACATTATATCTTAAAATATTTTCTTGCAAGTGTAACTGAGCAGTCCCTAAGAATTCTAGGCGGTTTAGAAATCTAAGGAAAGCAATCGTATTTATTTTAGTATAAAGGTAAATAAGATAAAACATTATTGAGCAAAAAGTTCAAATATCAAAAACATCTAAAATGGGCAAGACTCTATCAATAGCTGCACGGGTAGATCTAACAGGTGTCTGCAGAATTCAGCGACAAGATCCTAAATCCTATTTGGTCAACTGTCAAGTAACATCTAGTAATTATGAAAGACTTGAGGCTAACTCTGACACTGTGGCAGGTGCTGAGCAAACAATAAGGCTGACACTGTGATTCTCAGTTTGCTCACCTGCAAAATGGACATGCACTTTTGAAGTTTAAATAAGACATTAGAGGACAAACTGTTTTCAATGGTGCCTGTCACATGGTAAACACTCAATAAATGTCATACAAATGAAAAAGTAAAATAATGGATGAATATCATTTAATCCAGACTACATTCATTCAACCTGATGTATTTGGAATATGAAACACATTCATGGTGCATAGCCAGTTAACAGCTGCTCTTTGTAGGAACTGATCAAAGTGAGTACTTTCTAACATGATAGTGTATATATAATAAGGACGAAGAATACACGTTCAAAAACAACTTGAAAAATTGTTCTTGGTTAGTGATATAAAGCACTGTAACATAGGTCACTTGGCCCCAAGACTCACTATATATTTTTATTTTACAAGTTACCGATCCGCAAAGAGAAAGAGCCAATCAGTGAAGTATGTGAGGAAGGGGCAGGGGCCTGAGTGAGAGAGACCATGCCCATTGAATGATGCCATTTCTTCTCTGCAGTGAAGGGGAACTTGGAAATTTCTTCAACTCTAGTTGTGAATCCAACTGCATTCACACATGTCTTGCTTTATTTGCGATTATGAGGATGCAGTTTTACTTTTTCTCTGATATCATTATTCATCAATTTCCAGGCTACTACTCAAAAATAAAGGAAAAAGAAAAAAAGTAAGGATTTTCTAAAAGGCAAGATATTTTAACAACATGAAAAATCAAGGAATGAAATGCTAGCTTTGCACATGTACAGAACTGGCCAGGCTGTGACAGGGAAGCAATAAAAGCTCTCTCTAGGCCTTTCTACCAGTCATGGTCGACTCAGTGCATCCGAGGCCCGGCCAAGCTGCCAGCTGAGTGGGCCAAAGCTGGACACGGTATACCTTGCTACTTATGGAGAAAAGCCCAACGAGTGGGCAAGAGTTAGGAAAAAAATACCAGGACTTATGAAATGTCTACTTTAAATGCCCATATCCACAAACAGCTCTCATCTTCCCGTGGATATAACAAAGCCAACTGATCTAGCTGATTACTTCACATTTACTATTTGCAAGCTGAATTTTTCAAGAAAAGGGACTTCTTCAACTCAGCACTCTTGGTCATAAGTCAATGTTAAACTTTTAATATATGAAGGGAGAAGATACTGTAATTACCTTGAAATATTAGGTATATAATAATCCTTGTACAAGTTACTTGCATACAAAAATGTCATAAAGAGTTATTTTCATAGGAGGACAATTATAAGTTCAGCAGTCAAATCACAAAGGGCTAAATTAAATCTTTTAAAGAAAATATATAATGTCATGTTAAAAAATAAGGATCACTGCTGTCAGAATCTTTTTTTTAAAGGTCAAAATCCAGGCTTAAACAGGCCCTCAACTTATTCAACATAATTTTTCTAATCCTCACAAAATTGGCAATAAGCAGCTTATTTTGAAGTTTCGGGAGACTTAAAAAGTTTTCCTGCTTATACATAACTCATTAAGGCTGTAGTAAAAAGCAACAGGAAAAAAGTATCTGGTGCTGCCACCTAGAGGTAGGTTCTGAATTTTTAAATGGGCAAAAGAGGGCTTCCATATAGAACTCCATTTGTAATTATAGTCTCTCCAAAATTAGATACTTTTGTCAGAAATGACAGATTAAAGCAAAATCTTGATGACACTTTTTCTGAACTGGCTGAAGAAATAAACTTTATGCCCCATTTGAGAAAAGGAGCTTCCACTTCTACTAGACTAGCTTTCGACAGGTGACTTTGATCATTTGGTCCAGCACAGGATAAAAGCAGGAGCAGCCTCATGGGCTTGGCACCAGGTCTCTAGGGAAACAACAACAGTAGTTTTCCCCACAATAAGCACAAATGATGTGCGCTGTAATTCAATACTGTGACTTGTAGTGATCTAGTCACACATCATTTTTCCTTGAGGGTGCAACAGAAGGGGCAGTAGAATAAAATTAAAATATTGTCATTTATAATTAGAAAATTTATAAGATCTTACATTATTCTGGCAATGAAATCAAAACTCTCATGTTTCACGAAGTATTTATAGAAAGTAACATCATAGGCATTGGGGTGGAGGAGCTCAGCAATACTGTTTTTCACTTAAGATCACCATATTCTCATCACATGTACCTCTAGTATCACATTGAGCACAAAGTTCTTTTTCCTACCACTGTACTAGTTCTAACCCTTGTAAACTACCTGTTTTCAGAATGTTCATATGCTGCCATTCCCAAAGGAGTATTCACACGGTTTCAAACTCAAGTTCTAAACACGGCTGAGAGAGAGGCTAATACATCTGACCAAATAATTCCTCCCAAAGACAAGGTCTCTATTAATGTAATTGTAAACAACTACAGTAAAGCCAATTATATGTGTTCACACAAGTGAGCAAGAGTTTGGAAAAATCTGTATGAATGAAACTCCAAATGAGTACGGTAACTGGTGTTCCCAAGCAATTGTTTCTAATATGATTCAAACTACTAGGGAAGCTAATTAATTAAATCCTACTGTGAATTTTTCCGAAAAGTTTCTTTTAGGAAAAAAATCATTTATCTTTTGCACGAATCCAGGCTTTCGTCAATCTGCACTTCCTAGAGAACAATACACAAACTGAAAATTTAGTGTGATTAAACAAAAATAATGACTTTTTTTAAAGGTGAATGCTACATCCATTTTTAAAAACCTTGTACAAGAATATTCCAGCAGTTTTCATTCATAATAACCCGAAATTGGTAACAATTCAATTCAGATATCCATCAACATGAGAATGAATAAATAAACTGGTATCTACCATGAACTACTACTCAGCAATGAAAAAGAATAGATACTAACAGATGCTAAAAGACAGATGAATCTCAAAAATATGCTAAATGAAAGAAGCTGAACACAAAAAGTACATACCATAGGAAGTCATTTCTATAGAATTCTAGAATAGACAAAACTAACCTATGGTCATAGAATTCAGATGAGTGGCCATTTTTATGTGTGGTGGGGTACTGACTGGCAAGGGGTACAAGGGAACTCTCTAGGTGATGGAAATGTTCTGTCTTGATAAGCTGTATGAAACTCTTAAGATGGCAGCATTTTACAATATGTAAATTATAATAGAAGAAAAAGCATGCCGAATAAAAGGTGTCTGCGATAATTTCCAAAAGACTCATTTAGAATATATAAGGAACGTCCGCAAGTCAGTAAGAAAAAGACAACCCAATACAAGCACAGAAAAAGACTTGAACAGGCACCTCACAAAAGGAGATATTCAAATGGCCAAAAAGCATGTGAACAGGTACTCAACATTATTAGTCATCAAACAAATGCAAATTAAAACCACAACATTATGCCACCACATAAGATGAAAAAGAAAACACCAAATGTTGGTTAAGAATGTGGAGCACCCACTGCTAGCATGGCTGTAAATTAGGAGAGCTACTTTGGAAAGTAGTAGTATCTGCCCTGGCTTGTGTGACTCAGTGGACTGAGTGCGGGAAATTGTGAAGCAGAGGGTCACCGGTTTGATTTCCAGTCAGGGCTGCCGTCCCCATAAGGGGGGAGGGCACAAGAGGCAACCACACATTGATGTTTCTCTCCCTCTCTTTCTCCCTCCCTTCCCCTCTCTCTAAAAATAAATAAATAAAATCTTTTTTAAAAATACTAAGAAAATTAGTAGGACCTACTAAGGCTGAACATACATATCCCCTACGACCTAGAACCTAGGAATTCTCCTCCTAAGTATATACCCAACAGAAATACATGCAATTGTTCCACAGCAGTCATGTGCAAGAATGCTCAAAGCAGCATTATCCATAATTGTCCAAATGTGG